ATATATATATATATCTCAATTCGGAGACAGCCAACGACCTTGCCTGTTAGGGCCAACCGGTGCTGTGAGGTATTCATTTACATTCCAGCAGAAAGAACAAGATACTCCATAAATATAACATATTTATCTTCACTGAAGAACCAAACTTGCGTGTCACGCGTGTGACGGCGAAGCGTTTTACCTCAGAAGACGCCAGTCTGTATATAGTTTTGTCCAAAATTCGTGGCGCAACGTTTTTGCCAATTACAATTTGTTTCCACAACTATCGAACAAAAGTTCTCCAGCTTTGTAACTTTGACTTGCTCCGGTCTGTCTTAGGGGGGGGGGGTGTTATACCCCCAAAGTCCCGTTTACGCTCCAAATTATGAAATTTGAGTTGTAGGCATTTTTAGCTTCCCCAGCCTCTCCTACAACTATTTCATCGCATAAGAAACCCCAAAACTCTTATTTCTTCCCATACCTTGCATGTTTGTCACCACCTTTAAAATTTCCTCATAAAGTCAACATTTTATTTTTCTTTATCGGCCGTTTTCTCATAACGCGATTTTTCTCTGTAATTTGTTAAAAGTAACTCCACAATTTTTTATCCAATCTTCATGAAATTTTCAAAGAATGAAGAAAAGATGTCATACTAAAAATTTGTTTTGTTGAATTTTTTTTAAATATATGGTAAAGATGTTTGTTGGTGGTGTCTGGAGTGTGAGTTTTCACGGATTTTTGTGCAAACTTGAACACTACCTCAGGAAAAAATTAATTAAATTCGTTCTCTAATTCGTTTAGGGAAAAATCAACAGGCAAACTTTTAGATCTAATATTAATCTAACATGCACCCAAAAAAATCCCCAGTCAATTTCCATGAAAAGTAAGTGCGCTATTCATTGCGTAAGACATGTCAACACAATCCGATATGGCCGTCGTATCCATGGAAACGAAACTTTTTCTAAAGTTTGATTGCGGATTTTAAGACTCCGTACTATGCATGTTATATGTGTGACATTTGGTAAAATTTGGTGCACTAATAAGCGAGATAGCCTTCAGGTGTATCCCCCCCCCCCCAACAGTTTAACATTTTTAAAACATAATGTTAACTGTTTTCCAGAAAATACCGTAATAAAAACTAATAAAAAGTCCAAGTGGGTTATTTCTATAGCTTTAAAAGAAAGGTTAACATCGCCCATGAGCTGGGACAATTCCGCTTTTTAAAGCTAGTCCGTCCTTTCTTTTAATCGCAACACCACACTTTTTCATTAGATCAAAACGAAATGTGTTCGCTATAAAATTTATTTTTTGTAACAAGTTTTTCCACCCATGAGTGTCTCTGGTAAGCAGCGACGTAGGCCATATAATATGCGTATGCATGCAAACTGTGTGTGAGAAGCGAAAAAGTGCTGTGAACAGACTAAAGTGGGTGGCTGGAGGGAGCCTCTGGTAGGTCCTTCCTCTTTACTTTCTCTCTACTGTTTCTGTCTGTCTATCTTACTTTTTCCCGGCACAAAATGATCATTATTGTATTGATATGTTTCTCTTTACTCGGACAAACAAAAAGAAATATTTTCTGTCAATAATATATTTTTGGACAATAATGGTTTTCCTTTGTTGCCCCTTCCCCCCTCACCCACCCCACTCCCCTCCTTCTTCACCTCCCTCACTTC